CGATCAGCATCTTTGGTGGAAACACTGCTCCACATCACGTTATCGCCGATGGGCTTTCCTGATTGCTGGTTGTCGTGATCTGTGGAAACGATCTTGCATATTCATTCAGAAATCATGAGCAACAACAAGATGCAATTAGGTTCCTCCCAACAAAAATCATGCAGACATACAGATATATCTGTAAGTATTCATATAATAATATTTAATTATAATAAAGCAACTTGACTTAGCTTTCTAGATGATCGTTGTCACGTGTAGATTGGTGAAAACCTTTTGCTTGCTTGCATCATCTTCACGTCATGGTGATGTAGACCACTCGTAATTTGCACGACATTCACAGGTTAATTCATGCCCGTGTCATATTCAGGTTCGGTCATCATTATGAGACCGAGTAGATTGGATCCAGGTTGGCCGCTGTGCTTGACATGCACGTCGTCGAGCTGGGCTGTTCTAGTATGCGCGCAAAACACGGGGTCGCCTGCCGTCGTCGGGCTCTACACACCAGAACGCACTCCTGCGAGATGCGTTTCAGCATTAGCCCCATCCTGCTGTAGGTTGTCGTGGTCATCCGAAGACGCCGCCATGATCAACCGAGTTGCCTCGGTTGCGAAGTTGATCTTGAGGTCCATCGAGCTATCGATTGTAGAATTCCATCTAGCTCGCCATGGGATCAAGCGCACACCCCTACCTGGCACGCTAACTGTCGACAAAAGATGCTTGATAGTCCACCAAGGGGGCTACCCATGATGGTAGATTGATCGGTAGAGGTGCGCGTGATCAGGAACTAGATGGTTACAGAGACACAAGACACAAGATTTATACAGGTTCAGGCCGTCAGTGTGATGTAAAACCCTATGTTCTATACTATGTTATTTTGTATTGATTGAGTATGAGATTCAATATGCTGTCTAGGGGACCCCTTGCTCCTTCTATACTCTAGAGGGGTAGGGTTATAAGGAAAATATCTTATTTGGTAAATATCTTTTTGTAGTCTTGAGGTGCACGCCGACTAGTGCCGTGAGCTGCACGCCTTGATCTTATGGGCTGGACCACCTCTGATGGTGCGGCCCATGTCTTGTCCTATGGATATCAGGGGTCATACCCCCACAAAGGCTAAAAGGGAGCTTGAGGAATTCAAGCAACAACAATAGGAGGAGTACAATAGGCTCAGTGAGCTAGTCTTGCGCTTAAGCTCTCCTGGTAATTAACTCTCTATCTTCAACTCCTACGGCTTGATGCAGTGAACATTTATGGTCTGTTGTGTGGACACATGTGGTCTTTTGAATATTGTGATACTTTGTCAGTGATTCGCTGCTGACGTGTGAAATATTAATTGTGGTTATTTGATTGCCAGGCTAAATTGTTATGTAGTTAATCTATGCAGTAGTGATGATCTCGAATTACTTCTATGACAAAATTGATTGTACTCCACGTGGTAGAACCAGAACAGGCCATGTGATCAAACAAAAATGTGACATGTGGAGGAACCAGTGCATGACACGTGAAATAGCCAGACCACAACACGTGGGCTATTAAAAATCTAACACTTGGAAGGATGTCGTCAAGCCACATGGCCGAATAAAAATATGAAACGTGGCCGAACAATGTCGTGACGTGTGGTCAAATAAGAAACGGCCATGTGGACCAATAAAAATACGCCACATGGTCCAATGAAGAAGTGACACGTGATCCAACCGCAACACGACACATGTGCCCATAGAAAACTGACATGTGGAACAACAGGAACACGACACGTGGTCCAGTAAGAACAAAAAATGTGCAAGAACCAGAGATGGCCACGTTGTACAATAAGAAGGTGACACGCACCCGAACCATCTCCAATGCAACCAGCTATAACATGTACACGTGGAAAAGCATCTCCAATGGAAGCACCCACCAGCGTGGCAGCCCCCTGACACGCATGCCAAAACAGTTCTATGATGTTCTGGTTTTCGTCACCGATCAAGCCACTTCAATGACGATTTGCGAAAATTGTCATAGAATTTCAAGTGTGATGCGACTTCTATGACGAACCGGTTTTCGTCATAAATTCGTCATAAAACAGAAATTATGATGAATTTGGCTTCTTTAGTGATAAAATTTATTCGTCATAGAAGTGGATATTTCTAGTAGTAAAGTTATGATGCCATAGTTTAGTCTGCTAATGTCTACTTTTCCTGCATGGAAGTCAGAGAACAATTGGACAATGTCATCTTCAACAATGTTCTAGCATGATTGGTAGAATTCAATTGGTATGCTACCAGGTCCTGCTGCCTTATTTTTTCCATCTGGAACAAAGCATAGCAATATATGCTAAATCCAACAAGACAATAAAATGCTTCATGTACTTGCAATAGCTTTATTTTCTAATAAAGCATTATTCCACTATCAATTGCTAGGAACCACAAGAATTAAAATATTTATATGGGTTTAATGACAACTTTAGAGAATAGAAAGGATACAACAACTTGACTGTGATTGAGTTAATGTAATTCACCGATAACAATAAAATGGCAATGTTTTTTTCATACATAATCCTTTGCTTAATCCCCCCTTTAAACTAGTGTTATATATGATGTCGGAGATCTTTTTCCTTCTTATGGTTTGTATGTGAACAGTGGTGTCACCATTGTCTTGTGGTATTGGTTGAGAGCATCTAGTCCTGCAATATTTATGTAAAACAAAATATCTTTATCATATCAAGAATATGCATCACTTATTCTATTTTTGGCCTCAACACTAGAGCACTCTAATGCAAGTGGTGAACCCATAGAATTACCTTTTTGAGTTTGAATTTGATCACCCAATATTTTAGTGACACCTTTACCACTAGAAAGCATGATTCCCTGTAGTAAAAATAATTAGGTAAATTCTTAATGTATGTCGTGCTGAGGTTGTCTACTTTATATTATTATATGTTTGTTTATTGATTCTCAATAACCCTTAATATATATTATTCCATCATGCAAAAGGTACAAAACTTATAGTTGGATAGAACAATAGCCTTAGTGCAAATAATTATTAACACTATATGCATTTTTCTCACAAGGAAGTCAATTATCAAGACAAAGTCAATGAACAACTAGAAAAGTTATCAAAAACTTCCATATTTGTAATACAATGAATCAAAATGCTACTTCAATAGGCTTAGAAAACTGAGTGACAAATTGTGGGTTTATTAGCTAGTCACTTAAGTGTCAATGAATGAGTTTCACATCAAAGATGGATTGCGAGGAGTGCACATGGGTGTACTTCCTCATGTATCTAACATATAGTAACACAAAAGCATTAGACTAAATAGACATGTTTGGATACAATTAATTCCAAGGACCTAAACACACTACATAAACTCCACAACATTACTAAACTACGTGCAAATTAGAGAAAATACATATGAAGGTAGATTCCTTTTTATCTATAGTTTGACATATCCCACACATTTCTTCTTGGTCACACAACACAACAATAAGAATGAGCTTAAGATTAGTTTTTGGGTGTTCAGCAAATATTTATGTTTGACACTAAACAAATAACTTATATATGGCATCTATTGTTTGATATAACAATAGAAGCAACCACTGACCATGTTCATAAGGTGATTTATATACCTATATAAGAAAATCCATTTAGTCATTATAGATAGTACATAAATCCGATGTCAAAGTTTTTTTACATTGATATCCTAACTACAACCAAAACACATTGATTTTTACTTCTCTTCCACTACCTAAGCAATGTACTTCAAAGAACAATGTTTCCTTTGACAAACAGACATGCAACACAATTATCACTATTTATGCATGGAAACGAGTTATGATATAAAACGACAACATACATAGTAACATTTGTTTCCTAGAAAAAGATAGCATAACAAATAAATTATACTAGAAATGATTGTTTTTATATACACCCACACTTTCATATTCCACTTCACTATTGTCCATGGCACGTGTGTAACCTCAATATGCATAATTAGACCTGCGTGGGCACATGGATGCATTCTATTGGGCTAAAGTATAGTAGCTAATCACAAAATTTAATGAAATCATCTAGGACATAATTTTTTTTAAAAGATCAACATTGATATTTTAACGCACATAGGAAGAATTTGGTGAAACTAAGAGAAACAAATAGTATTATCACCCTTACCTATTGATAATCATTCCCAACACAAACATATGCTCGATTTTCATGTAAAATTACAAATTTTTTACACACCAACTAATCAAATAGTTGAATCATAGTTTCCTCCATATAAGCATAATCAAGTTAAGTTTGTAAAAGTACCAAATGGCACAAAGGGTAGTCACCTGTGAAGCAGTTATTTTCTCCTTCTCCTCATAGGCATCCTCTTGTTCAGATAGGCCAGCATCGATTTTTCGTTAGCAACCTACCAAAATTCTCCCGTATAGGTGAGTTTTTTGGTGGCTTTCCATACATCAATACTAGTGTCAATGATAGTGATATCAATGCTTCGACACCTCTTCCTGGCTGCACTTGTCGTACACTCAGTTTTATGATTGTTCTTGACTTTAGTGCTCTTTTCCTTCACACAAAAAAGTGATCAATAAAATAATTAAATTATCCTAGAATTGGGTAGCATTATCTACACACATACTTTTACATTTATGGACCTTAAGGCATGTGTAACCTTAAATATGCATAATTGAACATACATAGGCACATAGGTACATGTATTTGAGCTTGAGCATACTAAATTCACCACTCAATGTTACATGCATAATAAATATGTTGAGCAATTAAATCAACACTATCATTTCACTGTACATAGGAAAAAATTTATGAACCTAGAATAAAAATATAATGTTGACATCCTTAACTAATTATGTCATTCCCAACACAGCATTATACTATATGCTAGAATGCATTTTCACACTGTGTACACACCAACAATTCAAACAACTCAATTCTAGTTTTATTGATACAAGGAAAAAAGTTTATAAGTAATAAAAGTACTAGAAGGCATAAAGAATAGTTACTTATAAGGTGGCCTCTTTCTCCTTCTCATAGTTTTCTTGTATCGTGGAGAGGAGACTAAACCTTCGCTTTCCCTTTACGATGGAATCATGTTGTTCAAAGGTCTCCTCATGATTTTTGCTAGAGGCCTTCCCAAAGTCATTGCTACAGATTGATTTTTTGGTAGCCTTGCATTTATCAATACTAGCATCGATGATGGTGTAGTAAACATTGCATAATGTGCTGCAGGTGGATTGCTTTTTCTTGCGAAAAGTCTTATTAAGGGGCAAAGTATCTATTGGATCAAAGGAGGGGATCCCTAAAACATTAGAAACCATGGTGGTGGGTTGTGGTTGTGGTTGTGGTTGCGACAGGTGAGGTCTGTTAAGATCTTGTTGGTTTGCAAGGTGGTTTACACCTTTTGAGCTTAGTAGCCTTTTGAACCTGGTTTTTGGCAACATCAAGAGGGTTTTTATGATGACAAGAGGAAGAAGTTGGTAGAGGAAAGCATAGTTATGGTTGGGATCCATCTCCATAGATGAGATTATCAATTTGTAGGTTGGATGGCACAGATATTCCTTTTTTCACGTGCAATCAATGCGACCACGATGGTGTTTTGGTGGCCGTAGCATTTGTGGACATAAATCACATTGAGCATCAACTGGCAGCATGACATCTTTATTCTCTCCCACCAAAACAATGGTGGAGCTTGATGACTTAGCATATTGGGAATGAAGGGAGGTCAACTCTAGAAAATAAAGGAGCAAATATATAAGGGAACATATAAAGAATAGTCAAATACCTTGTAAGATGGGTCCTCCAAGACGACACCACATGTCTTTTTTTTGCATTGACATGTGTCAGTTGGTTTGTTTTCTTGCAATACACAAAACATAAAATAGCACTAGAATTAGAGATGGCAATGGGGAATTCCCCATCGGGGGATGGCTCCTTATCCCTGTCCCCATGGGGGGAAATTCCCCGTTTGCATCAACGTTTGTGGGGACACTTTTCTCCCCATCCCTGTTACTTGACTAGTAATTAATCCCCACGGGGATCCCCATCCTCGTAGTAAAACTGTTAGAGCAAAGGTAGCACGAGTACATGACACAAGAAGCAAATATTTCATTGCCAATTTCTTAGAACTACTAATGTTCCTTCGGTGACGCAGTGCTAGTGGCATGGTGCTCTAGAGCTTTGGTGGGCGGCATTGGTGTGGACTGAAGAGTTGTCCACCTAGATTTAGGGTTAGCAATGGTATATATACTCGACAACATAGGGCCTTTAGATGGTCCTAGAGCTATTGCCGTCTTATGCTCTGCTCTCTGGTTCACCTCTCCACTCTCGTACACATCGTAGCGGGTCGGGAAGCGGGGATCAAGGACAAGGACTAGGGAACCATCCTCGTCTACGTCATCCTCGACAGGGATCAAATTCCTACCAAATCAATCCCCATGGGGATCAAATGGCCCCATCCCCACTCCCTAATAGGTGAATTCCCGTGGGAACTGGGGATGGGGCCTGTTGCCATCTCTAACTTGAATGAATAAAATAAACCATAATAAATGTTTAGAATATTATACCTTGAGCCGGACGAATGCTGATGTCACCAGCGATGCGAGAGGTTGCGAAGACCTACTCCTCCAATCACTAGTGCATGCTAGCGATGCAGTAGAAAGAAGATGAATAAGTCCAACTTACTATCATAGGGATTCCCAAAACCTAGGGGCTCCTAGTATAGTAATTTCTAGTGCACCTTTCTAAGGAGGGATTGGTGCACATATATTGGGAGGAGAACCCCCTACATCCACATCAACTAGCAGTATGGTACTAATTGATGTTTCACCTTTCACTAACACCTGTGGGCTTAAACACTAAAGCCCATTACACAACTTAAATGCTCAATCACCAGTTCTGTAATGGGCTTTAGTGTTTAATGACCACTATATTAGAACTGGTGATTGGGCGTAAACACTTCCATCTATATGAGTTTAATGATCTATCCCATATAGATTCTAGCAATTCCCAACTAGATCTTAAATACTCAATTTAAAATTTTTTCTTCTCCTGCTACTTTTTATGTATCGACATTTTGTGGCAGAGATAGTTAAGTTATATTCCCACTAGAGTTTCAATTTACACCAATAATACACAACTTGACTATGCCTTGAAGTGCAAAATTTGAGTGAATGAGTTTTAGTGAAAGTCATAACTAGCTAACAATAGCCTACCCCCGTGGGCGGAACATATATGCACTATTTTTTGGTCTCTTCATAAGCTTACCATAGGCCAACCAAGTCTCATACACTGCAATGTTTAACAAATAATGTTCATATATGTGTGTCCTTTCAAGAATGGTACATAGGACAACATCTTTGCTTATTAAAGCCAACAAAATACATTAAGAAATTTAGCAAACCTACCCTAAGGGCCGGTTTGGATAGATACCGTAAAAGTCTACCTAGGCAAACAGTGGCACCCCAGTCATCTGATTTTGGATGCCTATGTTGCCTGGTCAGACAATGCATGCCAAGCTTCCATCGAAACAAACCCTAAATCTTTGAGAGTATTGATCTTCACTTAGAAAGAAAGGGATGGAAATTACTCTCCTTAGTCAACCATTAGCTTGTTTTTCAAGCATGGATCTTGTAATTCTGAGCACGAATTACACAGAACATCTTGTAATTCTGAGCAGAAACAGTATTCCTAACTCTCTATTGCTGCACCATGTCGATTGAGAACCGGAAGAAAAATAAATAAAATAACGAAAGTTCAGAACAGGCCACAAAGACTGTATTTGCAGATGGGTCTAGCAGGCCAGCAGGTCGCCCTGGGCCTGCCTGTAACCAGCAGACAGCAGAAACGGGCCTCTTGTTATGGGCCGAAACGAAGCTCACATCCGATCCGATCCGACTGACACAACACCACCACCACTCGCCGCGCCGCCGACGCAAAGCAGAGCAGACGCCCCACCGTCGTAGCATCCCCGTGCCCATGGCTTCCACCGCCACCGCCGCTGCTTCTCCCCGCCTCGCCTTCCCTCTCCTCTCTGCATCAGCCTCCTCATCGTCGTCCTCCAATACCCTTCGTTTCCCTCACCGCCGCAGCCGTGCCTCCCGCTCCTCCGCCGCCGTCGCCGCCTTCAAGAAGCTCTCCGAGGCGTCCCCCGTGCCCATCCCTCAGGAGCCCACCCAGCCCCTGATCGACGAGGACACGCTGCCCTCCAAGCCCGGGGTCTACGGCGTCTACGACCCCGCCGGGGAGCTGCAGTTCGTCGGAATTTCGCGTAACGTCAGGGCCAGCGTCGAGGGCCACCGCCGGAAGGTCCCCGCCAACCTCTGCGCCTCCGTCAAGGTACGGCATCGACTAAGCTGTCTAAGCATGTATCATCATATTATTACACTTTACAGTATATGCTCCTATGTATTTATGCTCACAGTTACATTACTTTAGCCTCGCTTTGGGACTAAACCAGCAGTTGCCTTTGAGCTTGGGTATCGGGGATCGTTAATTGGGGCAAACTGATACATGTTAATTTGCGCCACTGAGGAAGAAATGGTTTAAGTGTCTGTTGTTTCTCACTTTTGTTGGTGGCCGACAGGAGGGACAAAAGGGCACCAGTTTTTGTAGCTCCGAATAGTCGATATGCTTACCTTCTCCATTCTCCCAATCAACAATATTCTCATTGATTGGCCATTGTATAAACATCTCTAGCTAGTATCAGTCGGTCTATACTTTGCTTGATGTTGGAGTTTGCATTTCTCATTCGGTATGCTCACTTACTTTCTTTCTCACCGAAAGAAAATATGCTTACCTACTTCATTCTCCCCCATCTGCAGTAAGATGGAACCCAGTAATGTATTCTTCTTTCAGCGATCCATGAGCCTTGTTCTGGTTGACAGAACATGACGTTCAACGTACTGTCTGCAAAACAATATGTGCATATTGGTAGCTGATTTAGTATTTAGCATTGTATTTTTCATTCTAACCTCTGTAACTGATTAGCTTTTATTAGGACGGTAGCCAGTAGGTATGATATTACATTATTCACAAGCCCCTTCTTTATAGCAGGTTTGTGGAGTTTAAATTCCTTATTGCTTCTATAGCATGTTAGCAACTATGGGGCCTTCTCATGCAAGATCATGAATCTGGATAAGTCTTCATATGATGTTTTCATGCCAAAGGATCTGCTGAAATAACATAAATTCAGGTCAAAGTTTTAGCTAGTGGTTGTTCTACCCCATCCTGTGTCCCGTTTTAGTCAGTTCTGTGAATTGAAGTTGTTATAACAGCCTTTCTGAATATTGCCCTGGTTCTCCTGGGGCCTTAAAGACTTCGACACACCTGCTGCCTTAACTCCTCTTTTGCTTCATTACTTTTGTATTTACTGGTACAATATTCTTCTGCACAAACTAAATCTGTCAAAAGGAAAAAAATAATTTCTACCTTTTTGCATGTTTATTAGTACTTGAATATCTGATTGCACTGACATTATGACATGTGCAGGTCGCAGTATCAGACGAGGAGACACCAGATCGAGCTGCCCTTAATAATGCCTGGAAATCATGGATGGAAGAACATATAGAGGCCACTGGCAAGGCGCCACCAGGGAATGTTGCAGGAAACTACACCTGGGTTGGTGCCCCCCAGAGGCCTCCAGACTTGCGGTTGACACCTGGACGCCATGTCCAGCTGACTGTTCCACTAGAACAGTTGATAGACCGGTTGGTGAAAGAGAACAGAGTGGTAGCCTTCATCAAAGGATCAAGGAGTGCTCCCCAGTGCGGATTCTCACAAAGGGTGGTAGGTATCTTGGAAGCACATGGAGCAGATTTCGTTACTGTTGATGTGCTTGATGAGGAGCACAACCATGGGCTAAGGGAGACCCTGAAGACGTACAGCAACTGGCCGACTTTCCCTCAGATTTTCATTGGAGGGGAGCTCGTGGGAGGCTGTGATATTATTTCATCCATGGCTGAAAAAGGGGAGCTTGCTGCCCTATTTCAGAAATTGGGCTTACGTGCTGGATGATTAAGTTGCTTTTCATCCATTTTGACTCTTTTACCGAAGAATAACGTCAAAGCTTGTTTTGTACCCCTTACTGTCTGTGCATCTGTGCAACTACAAGCATACTTGGGTGGCTGTAAGAAAAAATTATTTGGCCTAAGACAATGGTCATTTGGACTTTCATGAGTGCTACTTAGGTGATATATCTGGTTATTCCTGAGAGGAGATTCAGAGTTGGGGCCTTTTTTTTGTCATTGCTTCAGATCATGTACATGAAAAAGTTGTAGGCTTGTGTGTTCATGCCATACAGTATGTTGTATACACAATGATTACAGGTTAATGCAAGACTTGTTTTTGGTACAGTAATATTTTTTTGTAGAAAAAACTGGATTGTAAGATGAAACTAGGGAAGGTGAAGTTGTGGTTTTCAAGCACGGTGGAGAACTGCAATGTAATAAGTTGCTGATGTCTATGCTCCTTTGGAGCTGTACTAGCTTAGTTTTCCTCTTCTTTTGGCATTAACCTTCTTTTTTTTTTTTTTTTTTTTGGGGCACTAGCAGTTCGTTATAGGTTTGATCAAGTATGGTGGGCACAAAGGTTCTTGGATAGTTTTCTTGAAATCATGAAATGTACATGCACTTGAAATCATGAACTGTACAGGCAATAAATAAGGAGGGAAAGAACCTTGCGGGTCCTGTTCTAATTTGTTGGAACACCAATACACGAGTAGCGGAGGCTAGAGTAAACATAAGCTAATACCGTTGGAGCATTTGTGGATGTTTTGTAGGGATGTTAGACAAAACCTTCGCGTGAGGCCTGTGATGGAGCGAAGACCCCAGCGATTCAAGCGGATGCCGCATGCTTCAGGGAGAAACCTAGAAGGCCTCCGCCGATAGCAAGAAGGCCTCCGCCACTGGCCGACGGTAGGGCGGAGGCCGGGGCGTGATCCTAAAAGATGTTCGAAGGAGTCCACGGGTGGAGGCTCAAAAGCGAGAGCTGAGGCTTCGACGGCTTGGGTAGAGGCCTTGATGTCTTCACCAAAGAAAGGGGCCTTCACAGCACCGCGGCCCAAGATTGGAGACGGGCTTCCAGTGGGCCTAAGGCTAAGGCCCAAGAAGCAAAGACGGTGCAGGGGGACAAGACCCGGGATGCCTCTGAAGATTTGAACTAGTGTTAGGATATTCTAGGAATATACCTTAGTTGCCAAAGGGCAAACTTGTACCATGAAGAAGTAGCCAACAGTGCCCTACAAAAGGGGAAGTCAGATGCTATGTAAATGAGGTTGGTGAGTTCATTAATGAAACCTTGATTGAGCCTGGGCCCACCCTCCATTTCACACACCTTCGCCCAGAGCACTCGTCTGGGCGAAGGCCTTCTGTTCCCCATCTGTGGGAAAGCCCTAGTTTTCCAACATTGGCGCCCACCGCGTATTGGCCAAGCAAAACCCAAAATGGTAAGGAAAAGAATAGCCTCCACAAGGGCACCTGCGGACCCCACACCAAGGGGAAGACCCAGGCGCAACACCTGAAGCACCTACGCCACCGCCCTAGAAGACCAAGCTACGGAAGAACCGGTCGTCGAAGACCAGCCTCCGGCTTCCGAGGAGCAGCAAGCCCCAAACTGCACCCCGAAGCAAGAGCTTCAACAATTATAGGCTCAGTTGCAGAACATGTAGTAAGAAAGAGATAGGGTCGCAGTAGCCTTCGCTACAAACCAAAGAGCAACCCAAACATCAGCTCAGGCAGCGGAGATCAGACATCAGCTAGCCGTCCTACAGGCCGAAATACAAAGTATGCAGCCCTCGCAATCTAGCTTCAACACATCCAACAAGTTCCACTTAGCAAATCAAAGCCAACCCAACCCCCCACCACGCACAACACCTCAACCAACCTTTGGCATGCCTTACACCTTGCCACAAACCCACAGAACCATTGATTCCAAATCACCACTATCCGAAGGCATCTAGAGTTCACCCTGGCCTCCCTCATACAAACCCATCACTTTGCCCAAATTCAATGGAAGATCAGACCCACGCCAATTCATCATGAGCTTTGAGGCAACTGTAGCCTCCGCTGGTGGAAATGAAGCGGTGCTAGCCAAATCTTTCGTCATCGTAGCTGAAGGCGACACGTTAGCCTGGTATTCAATGCTGAAGCTAAGCTTTGTGTATTCATAGGAAGACCTTCGTGACAAGATCCTAGCAAATTTTAAGGGATTCACAAGTGAATCCTTGACTTCTATGGATATGTTTCAATGCAAGCAAAATCAAGGAGAAGCCTTAAAAGACCACTTCCAAAAATTTGTGCAAATGAAAGAAAAAACACCCAATGTTCCGGAAGACATGGCTATCGAAGCAGCAATCAAGGGCCTTTGCATAGGACCCTTCACAACTCATCTAGCCAGAGAAAAGCCAAGAACCATCGAAGACCTTTACAGCAAATTTGAGAAATATTGCAGATCCGACAATGACTTCCGTAGAAGACTAGAAGAGCAAACCCAGAGAAAATAGTTCCAGGGCAACAGCAGGAACGCCTAGAGAGGCAATAGAAGTCAAGGCCAGTCGCAGCCACCGCAAGGGCAAAGCCATTAGGTCTTTAATATAGAGCAGCAAGGAAGCGGCCAATAAGGGCAGCAACCGGCGAAGGCAGGCCCAAACAACGTGCCTCAGAAACAAGCCGAAGGCAAGGGATATGGCCAAGGCAAGAACTGGAATAGAAACCAAAACCAAAGGCCGCGAAGGCAATACTGCTTCTTTCATGGAGAAAATAAGGGGCACATCACCATGGATTGCTCGAATGCTAAGGAGACCCAAGAGAGGATCAAAAGCAGAGCAAATCCACAACCTCTGCCACAACAACCCACAAGAGAGGTAAGCCATACTTTCGCTGCATCTCCTCAGCAGCAATACTGCCCAATATACCCAAGCCTAAACTCCACCCAAATTCACTCATCCACTTTAGCCGCCGCCTACTACCCAAATTTCCTACCTGCATGGCGACCAAGTACCAATCAGCAGGGGCAAACTAGCAACCAACGGACAAAAGCCAACCTCACATACATAAACCCAAGGCCTCCGCACATAACATTCATCAAGACCACTCAGCCATCTCTGGTACACAATAGCCAGCTAGAGGCATTGCCTCCGACCCCACCAATACAACCAGCAACACCCAAAAACGAACCCAACCTAGAAAACCAACTCAACCGCCACACTCCTACCCGCCATTGGCATGATAATGCCTATAGCCGGAGGCTCTTCAATGGAGTTCCAAACAAAGAAGCAGAAAAAGGATCACCTCAGGCTTATCAACAACATAGCAGTCCAAGGCCCAGCGTGCTACACAGATTGGTCGAAGACACCAATCACCTTCTCAGAACAAGATCTGCAGCTGGAAAGTTACCCTCACACAGATGCCATGGTAATCAAGGCTAACATTGTAGGATGGGAAATCAATAGGGTTCTCATAGATTCTGAAAGCTCTGCAGATATTATCTTTGTCAATGCCTTCGACCAAATAAAGCTAAGCAGGAGTCAGTTGCAGCCTTCGGACTCGCCATTAATAGGTTTCAGAGGAAAAAGGATCGATGCATTAGGAAAAATATCCCTGCCAGTCTCCTTCGGAGGTTAGGAAAATGAAAGAACAGAATATGTAACCTTCGACGTAGTAGATCTCTACTACCCCTATAATGCCATCTTTGGAAGAGGGTTTAAAAACAAGTTCAATGCATCTATTCATATGGGCTATGTGTGTATGAAAATGCTAGCCTTACACGGAACTATCACAATCCACGGCAGCCAGAAGGAGGCAAGAACTATAGAAAGAGCAATCTACAAATCTCAGCGCAATATCAATTCTGTTGAAACAGCCAAAAGCAACTTACCGGAGCCTTCGGACATGCCAAAGGGCAAAACAGATCTCAGAGACCAAGAAGAAACAAAGTCAGTCCCATTAGAAGATGTGGTCCCAAACAGAAAGGTCACTATCGGAGGTAACCTATCGAAAGAAGAAGAAGCAGAGCTCATAGAAACTTTAGCCAAGAACAAAGACGTCTTCGCCTGCTCTGCCTCCGACCTAAAAGGGGTCAGCAGGGATATTATACAACACTCCCTAGACATCAACCCCAAAATAAAACCAAGGAAACAACGACAAAGGAAAATGTCGGAGGATAGAAATTTAGTAGCAAGGGCCAAAGTTCAGAGGCTGTTGGACGCAAACGTAATCAGAGAAGTCAAGTACTCAGAATGGCTGGCAAATGTAGTACTAGTACGAAAGAAAAATGAAAAGATGAGAATGTGCATAGACTTCATAGATCTGAACAAAGCATGCAAGAAAGACCCGTTTCCACTACCAAGGATAGATGGCTCCCTCGACAAGGCAGCAAAATGCAAACGCTTTTCCCTCCTGGACTGCTTCTCAGGATACCACCAAGCTCAATAAAGAAGACGAGAAGAAGACAAGTTTCACTACCCCCTTCGAAATGTATTGTTACATTCGAATGCCCGAAGGACTAAAAAACGTAGGATCAACCTTCGCCAGAATGACAAAGGTGGTCCTTGGTCCACAGCTGCAGAAAAATATTATAGCCTATGTTGATAATATTGTGGTAATGAGCAAAAATGAAGGAGATCACATAGCAGATCTAAAGAAAACCTTCGCCAATCTAAGAGAAGCCAGGCTAAAACTCAACCCAGAAAAGTGTGTCTTCGGTGTAAGCAGAGGAAAAATGCTCGGGTACATCATAGGACCCAAAGTCATAAGGGCCAACCCAAACAAAACGAAGGCCATAATCTCAATGGTGGAACCATCTACCAAAAAGGAAATCCAAAAACTAACCGGAAGAATAGTAGCCCTAAACAGATTCATTTCAAAGTCAGCAGAACGTAGCCCCCATTCTCCAAAGCTTTGAGAGGCGGAGACAAGGTGGAATAGGGGCCAGATCAGTCGAAGGCCTTCCAACAGCTCAAAAATTACTTGGCTACTAGACTCTTAGTGACAATGCCGGATCCAGAGGCTCCATTACTC